AGAAGACAACTTTATTTCTCTCCTTCCACCTTTAGGTGAGTTCCAAGGATCAAACTCGGGTAGTCAGGCTTGTTTGGCAAGCACTGAGCCATTTTGCTAGGCCCTAGGAGTATTATAGAGAAATGAGGTATCAGATTGTTCGGTATTCACTGCTTCAGTTTGTAATATTTCTTCAGGATCAGTGTGGCATATGCACTCAATACATTTGAACTTAATTGATTCTGTAAAGAATGACATTAGGCGAAAAGATTGTGTTCTGCTTTATCCAGGCTGGCATGGAACATGTCATGTAGCCCAAGCTGCCCTTCAGCCCAAAGTCCTGCTTCTGCTTTCTGAGCGCTGGGATTAGAGCCTGTACCATCCAGTCCAGCTTCCCTCTAGATTTAGCAATTTTTTTGTATGATTCTGAAAAAAATGTAAGTGAGAAAACAACTAGACAAAACAGTTGCAGGTTTTTTGTTTTGTTGTTTCATTTTTGTTCTTTACATGAGGTCAAAAGTACATGTTTGAAGGTCAAAAGAAATGGGCTAGTAGTCTGGAGAGAGAAAAGAATAACCTATCTAGGAAATGAAAAAGGGCATAGAATCATGGGAGAGTCTAAAAAGAAATTTTTTGTCTGAGAGTAACTAGAATATAAAGTGACTATTTAATAAATTGTAGAAAACAAATAGTTTTAGGAGGCTGTGATAAAATAAGAGTTCAGATTCGGACATGTTAAATTTGTGATGCCTGTTAGAAGGGGAAATGAGTTAGGGGAAATCGGAGCTGAACATAAAGACAAACTCAAGTTCTTGATTGTTTTGATACTTGAGTCTGAAAGACTGGATGTGGTTTCCCAGAGTTCCTGAGAGAGAGGAGAGAAAGAAAGTAAGCATTCTGGCACATGAAGGGAATCAAGCAAATAACTGAGGGCTTGTGCAAAGTATAGAGGGTGGCTAGAGGAACGGCTCCCATGGAAACCAAGTGAAAAGATGCACATTGAAGGGACCAATAAACTGACTGCTGGTACCACTTTTTAAGTCAATATTAGGAGTGAGAATTTGAATTTTACCCCTGTTGGAGAGTACTGGTGATCCTGAGTTTAGTGAAATAGAGGAAGGAAAGCCAGATTGGAATTGGTTCAGAAGAGAATGGAGGCAGTGCCCAGGACATAATCTTGCCCCAAAGATCAAACTTGAGTCTAATAAGACCCTTAGATGCAGTTTCTACTTCATATAAAAATGTGGAGGTCGGGGCTGGAGAGATGGCTCAGCAGTTAAGAACACTGACTGCTCTTGCAGAGGACCTGGGTTCGATTCCCAACACCCACATGGCGGCTATGAATTGTCCTTAACTCCAGTTCCAGGGGAATCTGAAGCCCTCTTCTGACCTCCACGGCATTGCACGACACGGGTGCACTCACATACATGCAGGCAGTACACTCATACACATAAAATAAAAATAAGAAATAAAATACTTTAAAAAAACAACGTGGAGGTGTGAAAAACAAGAAACAAAAAAAAAAAGTAGGCCATCTAGTGCCCCTCCCTTCACTTATATGGGCTTTTGGACTGTGTCTTAAAAACCTAGTTAATCCAAGAGCTGATGACTAGAAAAGCATAAAGAGGTTATAAATTTTAATGGGGGTCTTCATAAGAGAGTGAGACCAAAGAAATGACTAAATTATAATGCTTTTGTGCTTTTCAGAACAAAGAGCAATACATTTGTAAAGTAATGACATAACAAATGGTAGTAAATCCCAGGATATACTACAAGATATACCCAGGATAGGGAGGTAGTGGCTGATAGAAGACTTACTTCAGAGAGTTGGTTTATTCACATTCATTGCAGTCCTACCTAGTGATGAAGGCTGTTATCTGATCTTGTATATGAAGGATAGCCATCTCAAAAATTGTTTCTGTTGTTATTCTTTAGTTTCAGTTTGGTTTTGTTTGCATAATGCTAAGGATTGATCACAGGGCCTGAGTCATGAACTTTTTTTTATTATTTTATTACTTTTTTATTTTTTGTATATCAGTGTATTGCCTGCATGTATGTAAGTGCACCCATGTCATGCGTTGCCCACAGAGATCAGAAGAGGATGTCTGATCCCCTGGAACTGGGGTTACAGGTGGTTGTTAGCTGCCATATGGGTGCTAGAAACCAAGCCTGGGTACTCCAGAAGAGCAGCCAGTAATTTCTCCAACCTCAAGACCTTTTTAAAAAATTGTTTTAATTTTTATTTTGTGTATATGAGTGTATTGCCTGCATGTAAGTGTGCCTGTGGGTGCAGTGACCATAGAGGCCAGAAGAAGGCATCAAATCCCCTGGAACTAGAGTTAAGGACTGTTGTTAGTCACCGTGTAACCAAATCCAGGGTCTCTGCAAGAGTAGCCAGTGCTCTTAACTGCTGAGCCATCTCTCCAGCCCCAAGAAAAGAAGTGAATAAGGAAGTTTAAATATAGCCTCTGTCATAGATAATGAGGAACTACTGTTAATTTTGTTAGATGTGATGGAGTATTGTGATTTTGAATGGAAATGTCTAATTTTGGGGTGGGGAGCACATGGAATCTCATGAGTAGAATTTCTTTAAAATAAACAAGTACGTGGCTGGAGAGATGGCTTAGTGGATAAGAACACTGACTGTTTTTTCAGAAGACCTGGGTTTGAATCCCAGCACCTACATGGTCGCTAACAACTGTCCATAACTCCATTTCCAGGGGATCCAACAGTCTCTTCTGTCCTCCGCAGGCATTGTATGACATGGGTGCACTTACCTACATGCAGGCAATATACACATACACACAAAATTAAAAAAATTAAAAATAAACAAGTACAAGCCTTTAATCCCAGAATGCAAGAGGCAGAAGCAGGTGGATCTCTGTGAAATCCAGGCTAGCCTCATCTACATAGCAAGTTTCAGGCTAGCTAGGGCTACTGGGAAACCCTGTCTCAAAAAAAAATGGGGTGGGGGTGTTGGAGAAATGGCTCAGCAGTTAAAAGAGCACTGGCTGCTCTTGCAGGTGACCTGGGTTCTGTTCCCAGCACCCACATGATGGCTGACAACTATCTAACTCTAGTTTCATGAATCAGATGCCCTCTTCTGGCCTGTGCTGGCATTGCATGACACAGGTGCACTTATATACATGCAGTCCAAACACTCATACACATAAAATTTAAAAAAAAAAAACAAAAAAAAAAAACACTTTAAAAGCCCAAACAAAAATGAGTGCAGCAAAAGTTTTGAATTATTTTTGAATCCAGGTGATGAATTGAGATTTGTTATATTCTGCTTGTGTATACATTCGAATATTTTCATAATTTTGAAAAAAAAATCACTGAGCATATGCAAAAATTAGAAATAAGGAAATAGAGTTATAGATAATTCTTGCTTTAGACAGAACTAGAAAAATGAAGACATAGCTGGATGAGTTGGGAGATAGTAATGCGAGTTAATGCATTTCATGATGGCAGCAATTCAGGCCATAGGAAAAGATAGTTCCGAGGACACTACTAAAATGTCCTTGAGTATGTGGACAGGAGTGGAGTGCATCTCTTAAAATAAATAACAAATATAGTTACAGAAGTTACCCCAAAACGAAGTGGCTTAAGACAGTAGCAGCATTTGTTTTTTTTCATGCCATTTTTGTGGATCAGAAATTAGTACAGCTTAGCAAGGTAGTTCTGGAGGTAGCTTGTCAGTGTGCAAAGAAGCACCTTGGAGGCTTGACTGAGATTGGGGTGTCTGCTTACAGGATGACTCACACAGAACAAACAAGTCATGCTGGCTTTTGGCAGGAGGTCTTAGTTCTTTGTCATGTGAACATCTCATAGAACTGCTTGAGTCTCCTTCAGATTCCTCCTGGCCTGCTTCCCCCAGAAGTAGTGATTGTGCTGGGTAGCTTCATTTGTCAACTTGACACACCTGGGAAGAGGGAGCCTCAGTGGGGAATTTCCTCTATTAGGCTGGCTTAAAGGCATGTCTTTGAGGTATTTTCTGATCCAGAGGGCCCAGCCCGCTGGATGGAGCCACCTCTGGACCGATGGTCCTGCCAAGAAAGCAGATTGAGCACAGCTGGGAGAGCAAGCCAGTGAGCAGTGTTCCTTAGTGGTCTGCTTCATTTGCTGCCTCCAGATTCTTGTGCTAAGTTCCTGCTGAGGCTTCCCACAGAATGAACTGTGATCGGGGTGTGTAAACCAAAGAAACCCTCTCCTTCCCAAGTTGGTTTTTAAATTTTTTAAAAAAATTTTTGTATATGAGTGTTTTTGTCTGCATGTATGTAAGCATACCACATATGCAGTGCCCATAGAGGCCAGGAGAGGGTGTCAGACATGCCTGGAGTTTTAGGTGGTTGTTAATGGCCATGTTGCTGCTGGAAACCAAATCCAGGTCTTCTGCAAGAGCAATCAGTGCCCCTAACTGCTGGGCCATCTCTCCAGCCACCTCCAAGTTGGTTTTGATCAGTGTTTTATCACAGCAATAGGGAAGCCAAACTAGGACAGTGATTTAAGACAGAGTGAGACATAAGCTGCACCAGCCTTGGAAATTAGCCTCCATCATTTCCAAAATATTCTTGGTGACCCAGGTCAGCCCTGTTTTGTATGGCAGGAGCATTATAGGCTAGCTATGATGCACATTAATTTTAAAATGAGGTAGTACATGTCTAGTGCATAGCATACAGTTAATAAACATTTAAGCAAATGGGATGGAGGAGATGGCTCAGCAGGTAAAAGCACTTTTGGTATAAGCCTTATGACCTGAGTTCCCATCTTGGACCCCACATGAACAGCCAGTGCAGTGGCACACACCTGTAATCTAGCACTCCTGTGGTGAAATGAGGAGTAGAGACAAGAAGCTTGAGAGACTAACTAGCCTAGAATACACTAAAACAGGAACAAGAGGCCCTGCCTCAATGAGGTGGAAGGAGAGAACCAACTCTCAGAAGTTTTTTCTGACCTCTGTACATACGTGTGCTCCTCTCACCCATAAAACATAATTTTTTTTAATCGAGCAAATGAAGGCATACACGAGTAGTAGAAGTTTCAAAATGACTAGAGGATGAATTACTTATGGTATGCTGGAGAGATGGGTCAGCGGGTTAAGAACACTGACTGCTCTTGCAGAGGACCTGGGTTCAGTTCCAGCACCCACATGATTGTTACCAACCATAACTTCAGTTCCAGAGGATCTGACACCCTCTTCTGGCCTCTTTGGGCATTGCATGCATGAGTGCAAAACATTCATACACGTAAAATAAAAATAAATAAATTTTTAAAATTAAAAAGCTTATGACTAGAGTTAAGGATTAAGCTATTAAAAGCATTTTTTAGCAATTGAAGTTAGTTTAAAATAAATCTTTTCTTTAGAAATTTACTGTAACTTTTTATCTAAAATGTTTTTATATACTTTGTTTGATTTCCCTCCTCCCCCTTTAGGGTCAGTGAAAACTGTTTTAAGTGATCAACGAAAGCAGATGCTCCAAAAATACAAAGAGGAAAAGCAACTTCAAAAACTAAAAGAACAGCGAGAGAAAGCTAAGCGAGAAGTATTTAAAGTGGGTCTGTATAGACCTGAGGTGCCTGGCTTTCTTTACCAGAAGACTCTGAAAACTGAGCCAAAAAAGGTCAATTTATGATTTTTAACTTAAAATAGAGAATTGGTTCCTTTTATTCTGAAACTAAAAAACAGGAATTTAAGTTAGTAAGTGTCTTTATGCCATAAATTGTAAAGGACAAAATTTAAGTTGGATGTGGTGGCACATATCTTTAATCTCAATACTTTGGAGGCAGAGGCAGGTGGATTTCTATGAGTTGGAGGTCAGCCTGGTCTACATAGTGAGTTCCAGGCCAGCTGGGGCTACATGGTGAAATCTCGTCTCAATAAAACAAAACATTTAATTTAATTAATTTATTTATTTTGGTCTTTTTGAGACAGGGTTTCTCTGTGGCCCCAGCTGGCCTGGAACTCCACTATGGACCATGCTGGCCTTGAACTCACAGAGATCCCTAACCCTCTGCCTCCTGAGTGCTGGGATTAAAGGCTTGCACCATCACACCCAGCAAAATACTTAATTTTAAGCTGTGACATGGATTAAATTTTGTCAGTTTTTTTTTAAATAACCTGATCTTTTTTGGACTATTTAAAGGCTTTCCCATCTAATGTACGGATTACAAGATCAAAGACCAAAGACCAAATGGAACACACTAAGGTATAGTTGAGTGTAATTGTTACTAAAATAATATATTTTACCCTTTTTTTCCCTCAAAAATTTTTAGTTCATTTAAAATATAAAATTAGGTGTAAATATAGTGATTTATTTACTTGAATTGATAGGCACAAAAATTAATGGTGAGTTAGAGGAGTTTGGGGCTAGATACTAGGAAAATTTTCACTATATTTTTTGCCTTCTATACCATAAGAAATCTATACCAGAATCCATCTCTGTGTCACTGTTTACTGTGCTGCTGCTATGCATTCTGAATCAACTGGATGAAATGCATCTAGTTATGAAAAACAGAGCAGGAATGGGGTTGATGAATTTCTGAGTCTTCTAAATACAGATGAAGGTTAGGAGGGAATGAAGTGTTAAGAAGAGAGAGTGTGACTTGATCAGGAAGGAGGCTGCATTTCATGTGTTTAATAGATTTGAGTCACTACCATGTTGGAACTATTCTAGTTCTGGGATACCGTAATGAGCAAAAATCTCTGGCTTTATGCAGCTTACATATAGACTGGAAATAAAATCAATATATAGTATGTTGGTTGGTTATAAAGATTATGGAGATTTAAAAAGAAGGAAGGTGGTAATAAGTGATAGATGAAGTAGGTGAGGTTGATTGGGAGAAAGCACCAGGACACAGATAAAACTCCAGCGGAATAGAGTTTATTAACAAAGGAACACATGGGACAGATTCCCTTCCAGGTAGGGAAAATGTCTACCCCTGGGCCATGAGCTAGGGTCTTTTATAGGGAGAGGCTTCTGGGAGGTGCAGAAGGCAGGAAGATATTTTTTTTTAAAGATTGGGGGGTGGGGGGGTTGTTAAAACCTGCCCCCTTTAGAGATCAAAGGGGAAGCCTTCTGTGCTGGCCAAACTGGAGAAAAGTCTGCTTTTGATTTCAAAGACCAAGGTGCTTTACTCGAGATTGCGGAACCATGAGGCCCTCTTGGTGAGGGGGTGGGGCTGCTGTGTGTCTGAACCCTAACAGTAAGTATGAAGTAAAATTGTAATTGGAGCAGTCAGGGAGTTCCTTTATTGAGATGGGGTAAAGTCTTAAAGAAAGTGGATGAGTGAGCCATAGGAAAAAGCTTTCTAGCTAACAGAAATGTAAATGTGGAAATTAAAGGTTTTTGTTGTTTTTTGTTTTGCTGGGAATCCTACAACCCAGGGAGAAAATTCTACCACTACCACTGAGCTAAATCTCTAGCCACCTCCTCCCCCAAGTTCTCTTTTTTTTTGGTTTTTGATTTTGGGCGTATTTTGGTTGGCCTGGAACTCACAGAGATCTACCTGCTTCTGTCTCTTAAGTGTAGAGTTAAAGGCATGCCTCACCAAGTTCTTGAAGTAAAAACATATCTAGAATGTTTAAGGACCATCAGATAGTTAGGGTTGACTATTTTTAATAACTTGGGGCATGATGCACATGGCCTGTATTCACAGCTCTTCATAAGGCTGAGGCAGGAGAATAGCTTAAGCAGATGAATTTGAGACCAGCCTGGGCAACACAGCAAGGCCTCATCGCACTGGGGTGGGGATGGGGAGGACATTAGTTATTAGTATTTTCTATATTCTAGAATTCTAAAAAGAATATATAAGGAAATATATTTTGTGGGGTTTTTTGAGGCAGGGTCTCATACAGCCCAAACTCCTTATGTAGTTGTGGCTGGCCTTGAATTCCTGATCCTTTAGAGATCATTTTACAGTTTAAAAGTGTGATTTGATTTATTATACAATTAAATCACAAAACTCCTAATCTCTTAATAGACTGATAATAGAAATGCTGTTCGAGCAGTCCATTCTGGGCAAAGACAGACGTCTGAAAAGAAAGTACTGGACAAAGAGAAAAAAGGTAGGAATATGAATAGTTATTATAAACTTGGTGCCTTCACAATAATATTTTATTAATGACAAAAGATATTTGATTAGATTATTTTTCCCATAGTTGTGCAGCCCATAGTGTCCACATCAGGGAGGGTGACTCGCTCTGCTACTCAAATGACAAAGGAAATTGCCAGAACAGTCTCATCTACCACAACAAGGAAACCAGTCATGAGAGCTGTTCATGGTAAGAACTATTTCATATCAGTGACTGAACTAGAATGTTTGGGCCCTTGAAGTTTTTGTATTTAATGTTTTAAACCATCTTGTGCTTCTCTGAGCAGGAGTGATGGGAGTGGGTGGCTCCAATCCTGAAATTGGGCTCCGTGCTCTGAAATAGTTACCAAATGGTGGGTGCTAAAATGTTGAAGCAACTGAACTGAAAAGCACGGCTTCAGAGTGAAAAACTGGTGGCCCAAATAAATCTCGCTTGATAAACCACAATGCCGCTGCCAAGGACAGTACTGCCAGTGTACACTTGGTGTAAGGGTTCATGGTGTATTAAGCAAACAATAAAAAACAGGCCAAGGGGAGCAAGTGAGATGGCTCATCAGGCAAAAGCGCTTGGAAAGAAAGCCTGATCACCGAGTTCAGTCCTTGGAATCCATTGTGGAGGAGAACTAATTCCTGAATATTGTCTTCTGACCTCTACCCCTGTGGTGACAGGCAGAAACACACACACACTGTAGGTGTCTGTATATTGATACACATTTAGCCAGGCCTGGTGGTGCATACCTTTAATGCCAGCACTCAAGAAGCAGAGGCAAGTAGATCTCTGTGAGTTGAGGGCAGCCTTGTCTACATAACGAGTTCTGGGCCAGCCAGGGCTACATAGTGAGACTCAATCTCAAAAGAAAAAGAAAATAAGGGGCTGGAGAGATGGCTCAGTGGTTAAGAACACTGACTGTTCTTATAGAAGACCTGGGTTCAAATCCCAACACCCACATGACAGCTAACAGCTGTCTGTAACTCCAGTTCCAGGGAATCTGACAATCTCTTCTGTTACGGGCATTGTACAACACAGGTGCACTTACCTACATGCAGGCAATACACACATACACATAAAATAAAAATAATAAAAATATTAAATAAATTTACAAAATACATTACAGAAAAAAATCAAACTGAACAATAGTGTCATGACTGAAAAATAATTATGTTAATATAAAAGAAAATTGGAAGCATATGCTAAAGTATCAAATTGGGAATGGAATCATGGGTAAGTGTGTGTGCATGTGTGTGCGAGTGTGCCTGTGTACGTGCCAGAGGTCACTGAGTATCTTCTTCAGTTAGTCTTCACCTTATTTTTTGAGACTGGGTAGCATTTGGGGTGCTCAGCAATTCAGCTAGACTAACTAGTTGTCAAGCTCCAGGGATTCATCTGTCAGAGATAACAAGTAGGTGCTGGGATTGGAACTTGGTCCCCATGCTTGTGAAGCAAGTACTTTACCAACTGAGCTATCTTTCCAGTCTGTTTTTCTGTTTGTTTGTTTGTTTGTTTTTCTTTTCCTTTCTTTTTCTTTTTCTTTTTTGAGACAGGGTTTCCCTGTAGCCCCAGCTGTCCTGGAACTATGTAGACCAGGCTGGCCTCGAACTCACAAACATCCACCTGCCTCTGCCTCCTAAGTGCTGGGATTAAAGGTATGCACCACCATGCCTGGCATCCAGTCTGGTTTTTTTGAGACAAGTTCTCCCTGTGTAGCTGAGGCTAGCCTGGCACTCATGATCCTGCTGTCTCAGCCTCCTAAGTGCTAGAATTACAGACATGAGCCACCATGCCAGCCTTTCGTTGTTGTTCTTGATACTTTTCTGTTTTCTTGTCTATAATAGGTATTTGGTATTCAGAAGAAAAAGGTAAAACATAAACACCTTTGTTTTGGAAAACAGATGGCCTATGCTTGTCAGGAAATTTCATTTGTTTTTATTCCCGTTTATCATATAATCATAAAAATTCTTATAGATATGCATTCCTATTTTTACCCTTTTTTCTATTCCAAATTACCTAGTAATTTCAGTGTAGCATTATCTGTCTATTTAAAATTGAATATCTTATTTCATTTTTATTTTAGATAATGAACCAGAAACAAAGGTACCAAGTAAAGGAAGACCTGGCAAGAAGATAGATACAAAGCCAGACAAGGCAAGAGCACAACGTGTTTATTTCTAAGTGCTTTGAAATCTTATTGCTACTTTCATAAAATTCAAATTAAGTATACAGACTGCTGCAGAAAGTTAACCTACATGTGTGCTAAAACCTCTTGAACTGTAAGGGCACATCACAAGGATTTATTGTTACTGTTGTTTTTCAGGTATCTTAGTCTCAGTTTTATAAGTAGAGAAAGCATCTGGGCAACAGAAAGAAAATGGAAAATAACACAAACACAGCTGAGAAACAGTTTTGCAAGAACCAGTTGATAGGGCGAAATGTGTTGACTTAGGATTCAACTAGACCTGGGTTTGAATATTGTCTATGCTTCCAATTAGCTGCATAATGTGGGCATGCTATGTAATTTCAGTTTATCTCTAACATAGAATTCCTACACAGAGTAGTTTTAAGAATTAAATAAGCTAGTGTTTTGACAGCATCTAGCACTGTATAATAAGATCCTCAGAAAAAGAGACGGTTCAGTGGGTGAACGCACTTGCCGCTAAGACTTACCACCTGAATTTGATCCTCAGAATCTACGTGGTGAAAGGAGAGGACCAACTCCTACAAGTTGTCCTTTGATGTCCACACGTGTAAATTTTTAAAAATTACAAAGAACTGGAGAGATGACTTAGCCATTAAGACTATTGGCTGCTCTTGGAGAGGACCTGAATTCTTAACTCCAGTTCCAGGGAATCCAGTGCCCTTTTCTGGTCTCTGCAGGTACCAGGCATGCATGTGGTGCATTTAACCTCCAGGCGAGACACTCCTAAAATTCTAAAAAATAAAAGTTACACTGAAGAGTAAGAAACCTCATGAAAAGAAAACAAATGTAGGTCTTCCAAAAGAGGAAATACAGTGTAAATCCTTATAACCCAACTGGGCTTCCCTTTAAGATTTATTTTCCCCTAAAGGTTATAATTATTTTTAACTTATACTGACTAACTAGCCAGAAGACAATACTACCACTTAAAATTCTTATCCAGGGCTGGGCACGCCTTTAGTCCCAGCATTTTGGAGGCAGAGGCAGGTGGATCTCTGTGATTTCGAGGCCAGCCTGGTCTCCATAGTGAATCCAGGCTATCTAACTACAGGAAGACCTTGTCTCAAAAAGCCCCGCCCCCCCCCCAAAAAAAAAATTCTTATCCAGGAGCCAGGCATGGTAGTGCACACCTTTGATCCCAGAATTAGGGAGATCTCTGTTAGGTAGAGGCCAGCCTGGTCTATATAGTGAATTCTAGGCCAATTGGGACTTCAGGGAGTGCTAGGATCAAGGTATGTGTAACCATGCTCAGCAATCTAAGATTTTTTTTTTTTTTTTAAAGATTTGGTCTTCTAGAATAGGTGTCATCTAATATTAGATTTCTGATTCTCAAGCCATAGTGATTATCCATGTAATTTTGTTAAAAAGGTGTGTATGTTAGTTGATTTTTTTTTTTCCTACTTCTGTGTATGAGTGTTTTGCCTGCATGTATGTAAGTGCACCACATGAAGGCACTGCCTACAGAGGGCAGAGAGGACATTGGAAGATGGTTGTTAGCTGCCAGGTGGGTGCAGGGAACCGACCCCTGGTCCTCTGCAAGAGCAGCCAGTACTCTTAACTGCTGAGCCATCTCTCCAGCCCCATCCCAGTTTCAGTATATGTTAATTTGTTCTAATATCTACAAGGTGTAACTTGTTCCTTTAATAAAGATTGGCTCTCTAGCTGGGCATGGTTGCACACACCTTTAATCCCAGGCCTGTGCAGGCAGATGTCTGTGGGTTCAAGGCCAGCATGGTTTACATAGTGAGTTCCAGGCCAGCTGGGTCTATAGGGAGACTCTGTCTCAAAAAAGACCAAGAATAAATAAATAAAGTAAATAAATAAAGGTTGGTTCTCTCTGAATTATAGCAGTAGTTTAGTATACCCAGTCCTCTGAGTTCATGAATATATTTTTAATTGTATCTATTTTTTATCCCATTATGTACATCAGATGTTATCTTAGTTACATTCCCTGTTGCTGTGATAAAGTACCCTGAACAAAAGCAACTTAAGGGAGCAAGGGTGTGTGTATGTGTGTGTGTGTATGTTTTTAAATATTTTATTATTTTTATTTTATGTGTATGAATGTATTGCCTGCATGTATGTGAGTGCACCTGTGTCATGCAATGCCACAGAGGTCAGAAGAGGGCTTCGGCTTCCCCTGGAACTGGAGTTAAGGGCAGTTCATAGCTACCATGTGGGTGCTGGGAATTGAACCCAGGTCCTCTGCAGGAGCAGTCAGTGCTCTTAACCACTTAGCCATCTCCAGCCCCAGCAAGGATATATTTTTGGCTCACTTTTGTTGATACTAATAGTCCATCATGACAGGAACTTGAGGTTATTGGTCACATTGCATAGGCAGCCAGGAGGCAGAGAGCAGTGAAGGCCTGTGCTCACTTTCTCTTTTTTATTCAGTCTACAGGAATGGTGCTACCCACCATATTTAATCTAATCTAGATAACCTCTCACAGGATAATTCTATCCGCCAAACTTACAATCAATATAAGCTATCACATTTTCAAACTTTTTAAAAACAAGATAAAGGTTGAATGCATTCTTAGAAGAGAAATTCCAGCTCTGTTCTGTTTGTTTATGCCTAGGTCATTTCTTCTAAAGTCAATGATGAAAATACTTTGGATTCACAAACCAGTGTAACAAATGGAATGGATCCAGATGAAGTCTTATCAGAAATGGAAAATGTACTGAAGACAAATCCTGCAAAAATGAAAAGGAAGGTCTCCTTTGCACCTAAGGATTTTGTGTTTCAGCCACTGGATGGTCTGAAGACCTATCAAGTAGCACCCATGACTCCTCGAAGTGCCAGTGCTTTCTTGACACCCAGTTATGACTGGAACCCTGTGAAACCAGAGTAAGACAGAATCTTTAAACACACACAAATAATCTTAATGATACACTTTACTAAAAAGGGTAACAGAGGCCTTTCTTAGATTTGCCTGTGCTTTTTTTCCCTCCTTTGCACTATGTTTTTAATTTAGTGTGCTAATTATAAATCACAAAAATTTGTTCTTTTGAGAAAAGTTCTTCAGATGACTATAGCAATGTCTTTAATAGTTTTGATATTTTCTATGAATTTTTTCAGTATAACTTGTTGATTGTTGCTTTTAATAAGTAGCTTTAAGGGTTATAAGCCCTTAAAAATTATTTACTGAGATATTTGTACTGCTGGAGATTGAACCTAGGGTCTTGTGTATGCTAGATAAGTGCTCTACCACTGTGCTACTAAGCCTATATCCTTAGTTCCTAGAAAAACTATTTTTGTGGTGATAAGATACTATGTAGCCTAGGCTGCCTCAGCTTCTTCAGTGCTAGGATATAGGCTTATATCACTACACCCAGCTTGAACTGAAGTTTTTTAAGGATTTTTTAAAATTTTGTGGATGTGTATAAGGATGTATGTGTATGCAGGTACCTGAGGAAGCCAGAGGCATCAAGTGCTCCCAGAGCTGGAGTTGTGAGCTGCCCAGTAACGGGTGCTGGGAATTGAACTCTGGCTCTCTGGAAGAACACATGCTTTTAACTGCTGATCCATCTCTCTAGCCCCAAAGTAAATTTTTTATAAGAAGAGAATTGCCACGATACTGTAGCTTGTTTAAATAGGATCTCTCTGCTTTCTTTGCCTGCCTTCCTTTCAGAAAACTTCCTTTATCAACAGGAAATAATTTGCAAAGTTGGGGAGGGGGCAGCTGGAATTTTTTTTAATTAAAGGCAAAGTTCTTTTGCAAAGACCAGCTAGCAACAAATTATTAGAAATGACTCAGTAGCATCCAAGACTATTGAGTGTTTTATCTTCCATTAAAAGATTTTCATTGGCTGGAGATGGTAGTGCATGCCTTTAATCCCAGCTCTCTGGAGGCTGAGGGAGGCAGATCTCTGTGAGTTCAAGGCCAGTCTGGTCTACATAGTGAGTTAGTTCCAGGCCAGCTGGGGCTACAGGGAGACCCTGTCTCAAAAAGAACAAAAAAAAACAACAAAAATTTCAGTATCTTTGAATCCTATTGTAGTTCTTTAATGAAGATGGCTATTTCTATGAATGCTTTTTAAATTTTTCCCACCTAGAATAAACATTGTAAAAAGATAGAAAGTCATTTGTGAATCTGAGGAAGAGAATTGAGAGTTTGAGGCCAGTCCCAGCTACGTAGCAAGATGTTGTGGTCAGAAAACAGTGGCTCAGTGGCAGAGAGCTCACTTCGTAAGACAGGGTTTTATCTAACTTTGAGTTTTGTAAACCAAGAATGAACCTGATCTGTTCTGAAGTACTAAGATTTTTCTCAGAACTATTCTCTTACTGTCTTGTAACAGAAGATGTCGTTTCTTTTTATCAAACAGGATATTAGACAAGGTATAGGAAAGGAATGAGCAGTGTTTGATAAGAGTTCTACAAAAGAGGAAGTTGTCTTTCTGACCTTACTGACTCAGAACTGCATACAGAACCAGCATACAAAACCACAAACAGATGTTAGCAACCTATGCCCACATGTTGCTTCTAACATTTCTTGTTGGGGTCACATTGTTTTCAACATCATTGCTGCTTTCAGCGGGGCTCTTAAGTCCAGCTACCAGACTTTACACAGGCATACATTGCTCTAAGTCGGGCATAAATGAGTCATGAGGGAGAAATGGGAACATGGTATGTGGTCAATACTGTGCATTCAGCTTAGCTTGTAAGAGTTAATGGCATTTGCATTACAAAGCACTGTAGGGTTGATAATGTTATTCTTTGTTTTGGTCTTTTTGAAACAGGGTCTCCCTGTAGCCCCAGCTGGCCTGGAACTTGCTATGTAGACCAGGTTGGCCTGGAACTCACAGAGATCCACCTGCCTCTGCCTCCCGAGTACTGGGCTCCAAGGCATGTGTCACCATGCCCAGCATATGCCTTTAATTATGTTATTCTTAAGGGTCAGTTAATTCTAAACAAGCTGAGTACACAGTATGTAATCAGAGTGAGTACACAACCCTACATTACAAAAGTAACTTGGTTACTAGGCTGTGCAAGAGTTAAATTGTAAAGACTTGCTGCAAAGAGCCAGTCCCAGAAGAGGCATCCTGGCACACTTGTCCCTTGTCTTATTCTCTTTTCCCTCATCTCTGATCTATTTCTTTCTTTAGGTCTTTCTGAGCCCATTTCTATATAGTGTGGTTCCTTTACTTTGCTTTATTTACTTTTTTTTTTTTTTTTGCAGCCTGTTACCACTAGGTAGATGTAATATAGATTCATGTCTTATTTATTTACCATCCTACCCCAAGACACAGAATCCACTTCAGGAAGTCCAGGCCTTTAATTTTGTTCATTAGTCTGTCCATTTGTGCCTCAAACTGTACTGCACCTATGAGTCACTAAATAGAAATATATTAAATAAAAACACCTCTGTGAGCTACATAATGAGACCTAGTCTCAAAAAAAGAGGGAAAGAAAATATTCTAGGTTTTGTGGTTTGTTTTTTTTTTTTTTTTTTTAGAAGAAGCATTTCTTTACAGTTTTAACATACTCAATAACAATTTCCAGAGCAAATATAACATCTCTTTCAAAAGTGGCTATAAAATTTTTAGGTTCGCGGTTGAATTAATACAGTTATAATAGTCTAGGTTTTTAAAAACAACATACTTTTGAAATTCTTCAGTTACCTATGTATGGAATTCATGTTTTCACGAAGTATGTTTTTTTTTTTCTGTTTTTAGTGATATAACTCAAGAGGCAACAAAAGAATTCTTGGTGCGAAAATCTATAACTTACTCTACTGGTACAGTACAGCAAGATTCAAATAAATTACAATGTGCTTTGGACTCTGCCGCAGTTTGTGGTAAAGGTGCAGTATTTTAATTTGAGATTTTACTTTGACAGAACTTTGTGTGGAGCAAGCACATTTTTACCATGTAGTTCACAGATATGACCAGGGTCTGAAGAAAAACGGGGAAATGTGGATAAGGATATTTGGAGAAAGAAAGCTGGAATGAAAACTATAGATTGAGGGGAAAGAGAAAACAGTGTGAGGAGATGAAAAATATTGACAAGGTCTGGGGAGATAGCTCTGTCAAAAAGTGCTTGCCTCCAAATCATGAGAATCTGAGTTCTATCTCTGGAAACTATATTTTTAAAAATTTAAAAAAAAACATTTTGATGTTGCGGCATGCACTTGTAATCCAACACCGGGGAGGCAAAGACAGGCCCACTTAGGCTGCTTGCTTGGCACGTTTCAGACCAGTAACAGAGCCTGTCTCAAAAAAGAATGGGTGGACATTGCCTGAGGAATAACATGACAGGTTGACCTCTGGCCTCCAGAAGCATATGCACAAACACATACATCCACATATTGACAGCCATATTAGATGTAATTGAAATGGTTAAGGCAGAAATAAAATTTAAAATTCAACATTGATCAAACTGAAGGATTTTTAATATCTTTTTGTGAGGAATGTCATTTTAGGAATCACTGCTTTAAGTTATATATGTAATGTGTTCTTTAATTCTTAGAACATGGCTTAAATCAAAAAGAAGCTACTACTAAAGATTCAAATTGCCTTTCGATTAAAGAAGTCACATCACTTGAAGTAAATGGTCAGATGTCTCAACCCCAGCATGATGTGCCATATTTCAGGTTTGTCTGTTCTACCATGAGAGTTTTACATTAATATATAGACATTTAAACCCAAAATAAAATGCTAATTTAATGCATAAATAATATAGTAAGTGGGTAAAGACTGGTTTTGGGTGATTTTCATTTTGTAATTTTTGTTGTTTTTTTTTTGTTGTTGTTGTTGGCTTTTTTGAGACAGGGTCTGAGTATCAGTTTGCAATTTTAACTATAATGTGGTTTCTATTCAGAAGAAAATGAGTAAGTGTCTAAACCCCATAGTTTAAACCCTCCATGGAAGTAGATGTTAATTATTTTTTGTGAACACTTCCAGAGATAAATAATGCACATGCAGACAGATGTTTACTTTTTTTTCTCTTAAAAACATAAACAGTACTCTTCCTTGGTTTAGGGTTTTTTTTTTTTTTTTTTTTTTTTTGTCATTTAATGTTAAATGCTGAAGAAATTCTGTTTTAGCACCTGGAGAGCTTTCTCATGTTGGTGCATAGTATCCAGTTATACTCTCTACCACAGTTTGGTAGGACTCGGTTGATGGACATAAGCGTAGGGTTCAGATTGTTACTTAAAGTCAAAGCTGAAAAGAAAATATCTTGCATGCTTTTAAAATTTTTTACATGAAATATATAATGAGGGTTTGGGAATGTAAGGTAATTGATGAGTACTTGCCTAACATCCACAAAGCCCTATAACCCTAGCACTCAGGAGGTGGAAGCAAAATCAGAAGTTCAAGTCTTTCTTGACAACATAGCAAGTTTAAGACCAGCCTGGGATGTATGACATCATGACTTTAAAAAAATAAAATAGCCAGGCAGAGGTAGGCAGATCTCTGTGAGTTCCCAGCCTGGTCATAGTGAGTTCCAGGCCAGCTAGGGCTATGGGGAGATCTTGTCTCAAAAAGACATCCCCCCCAAAGAAAACTAAAACAAATAGGGCCTGGAGTGATGGCTCAGCAGTTAAGAGCACCACTTGCTCTTGCAGAGGACTCGGGTTCTGTTCCCAGAACCCAGATATGGTTGTAACAAATATCTTCCTATTGTCTTAATCATCTTTTTTTTTTTTTTTTAAATTTATTATTTTTATTTTATGTGTATGAGTGTATTGCCTGCATGTATGTGAGTGCACCCGTGTTGTGCAATGCTGAGGAGGTCAGAAGAGGGCTTCAGATTCCCCTGGAACTGGAGTTAAGGATGGTTCGCAGCTGCTATGTGGGTGCTGGGAATTGAACCCGGATCCTCTGCAAGAGCGGCAGTGCTCATAACTGCTGTGCTGTCTCTCCAGCCCCTCATCTCTTTTTAATGAGTAGTTTGTGTTGAGAACCACTTGAATTGTTTCTATAGTGAAGTATTTCAAATATAAGCGCTTCTAGAGATTAGCTAGTCAATTGTGTTCTGACACTGAGTCATTAAGGTAATGAACAGTTTGTGGAGTTGGTAATGTCAGAGCTAAGCCAGGCCTCCTTTCTTGTTACTTCATTCATTCTGATTTTAGGTTTTTCAACTAACATGTTTTCTTTTTCTTTTTTTAATTGGTTGGAATCAAACCCATTTCAGGGCCTTGTTTTTGCCAGGCAAGTGCTGTGTCACTGAGCTACATCTCTAGCCCTAAATTTTATTTTATTTTATTTTTTTATTTTTTTATTTTTTTCCAGCCCCAGCTGACCTGGAACTCGCGACACGTGAACCAGGCTGGCCTCAAACTCACAGAGTTAAAGACATGCTCAGCTACTTTTCTTAAGATTTTATTTTTATTTTATGCGTATGAGTGTTTTATTTGCACATATGTAAGTGTGCCATGTGTATACCTGGTGTCTGGAAGCCAGAAGACGGCATCCAGTCTCCTGGAAGGAGACTGAAGTTAAGGATGGGTTTTAACTGTCATGTGGGTGCTGGGAGCTAAACCTAGGTACTCTGCAAGAGCAGCAGGTGCTTTAACCACTGAGCCATCTCTTTAACCCCTCAAACTTTGAGGAAACCAAAACTGAGCCAGGTGTGGTGCATGCTTATAATCCTAGCACTTGGGAGGCTCTCAAATTTGAGACTCTCCTGAGCTACATACTGAGACTCTGTCTCAAAAGAAAAAGGAACCGGGTGTGGTAGCTCACGCCTTTAATCCCAGCACTCGGGAGGCAGAAGCAGGTGGATCTATATGAGTTCAAGGCCAGCCTGGTCTACATAGCAAGTTCTAGGCCAGCTGGGGTTACAGGGAGACCCTGTCTAAAAAAAAAAAAAGAAGAAAAAGGAAAAACTGTCCTGAGGTTTTCCTGGTAGGGTATCTGTGACGGTCATTGTTCTTCCCCTTCTTGTTTTTTTTAATCTTGGTTTGTGGAGATATTTTTCCTAATATTTTGTTGTGGTAAACTATACATAATAAAGCTTACCACCTAAGCACTTTAAATATTCAGTTTATTGTCATGCATTAATAGTCATAGCATCGTGTGCCCATCACTACATCTATGTCCATAACCTCCGTCATGTTGTAAAACTAAAATTCCACATCCATTAGACAATAAATCCTCATTCCTCCTAATAGCCCCTGGCAAACACCATTCTAGTTTCTGTCTGTCTGTTTTGTTTTGTTTTCTACACTAGATATATCATATAGTTAATTAAATAGTATCACAGTATTTGCCCTTTTTTTGTTTGTTTGTTTGTTTTTTTGAGACAGGGTCTCACTAGTGATCTGCCTGCCCTTGCTGGGATTAAAGGCACGTAGCACCATGCCAAGCCCTATGTATGTATGTATGTATGTATGTATTTATTTTTAAGGGCAGAGTCTGATTGTATAGCCCAGGCTGTCCTGGACTGAACTAGAGATCTTCTTGATCAGCCTTCTGAGTGTTGGGGTTTCAGGCATGTACCACCACACCAGGACAGTATTTATCTTTATGACTAGTTTATTTCATTTAGCATAGTATTCTTAAGATTCATCCTTATTGTTAGAATTTCCCTCCTTGCCCTGCCCCCTTTTGAGTTAGGCTCTCACTACGTAGCCCTGGCTGACTGGAGCTCACTGCAGTGATCCTCCTGCCTTTTCCTTCCCATCCTGGGATTACAGATGTGCACCACCACACCTAGCAAAGGCCCTATCACTTTAATCAACTTGCTCTTGGTTGGCTTGTCCTTAGTTCTGAGGACAGTATCACAGTACCTATTACACACAGTACCTATTACACACAGTACCTATTACACACAGTACCTATTACACACAGTACCTATTACACACTAAGGAATTTTGTACTTCAGGCAGCCTCTGAAGAAAGAACAAGTTAGAAGTGTTTACTTCATAAGTAGGTTCTTGGCATCATCTATCCATGTATGTTTTAGATAGGAAATGTTTCATGGGTTTTAATATGTTATAGTTCATTAATACTTATGTATCAATTCTTAGAAATTGCTATTGTACCTGTTTTGGTTTTTTTGTGTAAGTATTCCATTGTTTTAAACCTGCCTAATACTACATATCAAAGTGTCAGAATGCTAATGCTGATACTAACATGGGAAATACTTAAATGTACCATTGTTGCTGAATAAACAAACTTGTTTTAAAATAAAAAAATAAAAATAAAAAACTGAAGGGTATGTCATAATTTTAGAAACATCCTCCAATCGGAAACTGACAAGTTAACCTCACACTGCCTTGAGTGGGACAGGAAGCTTGACTTGGATATTCCTGATGATGGTGAGAAAACTTCTTTTTTAATCTTAACTTTGTTTCTTTTTTTTTGTTATTATTGTGTTGTTTTGTTTTTGAAAGAAGGTTTTGTAGTCCAGGGCTTGAACCTAGGACCTTATGCACGCCCTACCACTGAACTATATCTTCAGCCCTTATCTCTCTTAATGTGGTCATACTCATTTCAAAAACAAAACTCTAATGTTGTCCAAGTTTGTAGTTTCATTATTATTCAAAATAGCAAGAATTTTTTTCAACATCTATTCCCTAATATCTTTGTACTAAAGAAGTATAAAACTTTTGTGTATTTTATTATCTTAATGTGACTATATGTCTAGAATTATTTAATTATATATAAATATATTTTCTGAATGAAGAGTATCTAAATTGATATGGAAACAATTTTCTGTTAAGTTCCTTAGTCCTGTTAATTTAGGGAAGTTACTTATAAAAAAGTCATCTGTCAGTATGAAGTCCTTAGATGTTTTTGTGCAGCGAGTTGAGGTTGAAGTCTTGTAAAACGAGAACTGGAATGCCGTTTATTGTAAAGTAGTATATGTTTGAGAACCAGCATTGCTGATTTTTACTGGCAGTTGAAGCAAGTAGCTACTGCTCAATATTTGTATGACAAAATTTTGTGAGTGGTATTTTTTTGTTTTGCTTAAGAATTTTGATTCTAAGCCAGGCATGGTGACACACTCCTTTAGTCCCAGCACTCAGGAGGCAGAGGCATGTGGGTCTCAAAGTTCAAGGCCAGCCTGGTCTACATAGTAAGTTCCAGGCCAGCTGGGGCTGCAGAGAGTCCTTGTCTCAAAAAGACCAAAAACAACAACAAAAATTGGGTTCTAAGCTGGAGAGATGGCTCAGTGGTTAAGAGCACTGACTGCTCTTCCAGAGGACCCAAGTTTGATTCTCAGTACGCACATGGTGGCTAACAACCATCTGTAACTCCAGTTCCAGGGGATCCAATACCCTCTTCTGACCTCTGTAGGCATTGCAGGACATGAGCGCATTTATACACGCAGTGCACTTATACATATAAAATAGAAATTAATGAGAAAACTAATTGGATTCTGTAAGTTTTAGGATATTTAGATCAGAGTCTCCATTAGCTAGCTTGCTATGAAGGTCCTGTTTCATCTTTTAACTTTTGATAACTTCATATCTTCTTTAGCTAAAGATCTTATTCGCACAGCAGTTGGTCAAACAAGACTCCTTATTAAGGAAAGATTCAAGCAGTTTGAAGGACTGGTGGATGATTGCGAGTATAAACGAGGAGAAAAGGAAACTACCTGTACAGATCTGGATGGATTTTGGGATATGGTTAGTTTTCAGGTATGTGTCAAGTATTTTGAATACATTAGCTTGTGACTTTTTGAATGTAACAACAGTAGTAAAATGGGATAATAGCTGTTGAGCTACTTGTGATGTTCTAAGTGGCTATTACGAAGCACCACAGTAGACTGCTGTTGTCTTCTCTACCATGCTATCAGGGTACAGGCTCTGGAATAATCTAATTCTTCATGTGAGAAATGAGCCTGCTCAGTTAGTGAATTCCTGTTGTGTGCCAGACATTATATTAGGAGATAATAAAAGAGTTAATAGGATCATTAGCAACATGAAAAACAGCATAAAATTATAATGTAATGTAGAGCTGTGTGATAGAGGACGTCATTAGTGTAGTTGAGGGAGAACATTTTCTAGCTTGCTGAATTTATTAGAAGTGAATGTATCGCTGGGTGTGGTGGCGTATGCCTTTAATCCCAGCCCTTGGGAGGCAGGGGCAGGTGGATCTTTGTGAGTTCGAGGCCAGCCTGGTTGACATAGTTCCAGGACAGCTGGAGCTACAGGGAGACCCTGTCTCAGAAAGACAAAAAAAAAAAAGAATGTATCAGAGACTGCAGACCATGGTTTTGTTCCTAGCCCCAACATGGTTGCTCAAAACCATCTGTAACTCCAGCTCCTGGGATCTGAAGCCCTCTTCTGGCCTCTGTGGGCACCAGGTATGAACTTGGTGTAGGCAAAACACTCATACACATAAAACATAAATAAAATCTAAAAAACAAACAAAAAAAAGTTTATTTACAGCTATTCATTGATATTCATTTCCCAGTTTAGCAAGTAAGAGCCATCCCACGTTGATTGCTAGAGGCTTTTGCTTTGCTTTTTAATTTTAAAAAAGGGTATTGAGATATTACTTATATGTTTTGCAGCTTCAGTGTACAAATTCACTGCTTTTTTTTTGTCTTTTTTGAGACAGGGTCTTCCTGTAGCCCCAGCTGTCTAGAACTCACTATGTAGACCAGGCTGGCCTTGGACTCACAGAGATCCACCTGCCTCTGCCTCCCAAGTGCTGGGATTAAAGGCATGCGCCACCACACCCAGCTAAATTCACTGATTTTTAAAAATAGATTTATGGCATTATACAGCCATCATTATAACCTCGATCTTGTCATATCACTGTGACCCATCCTGTCTGTTTTCAGTCCATTCCAAGTCCCCTTCCAGCCCCAGGCAGTCACAATGCACTGTCTCTGTAGATTTACCTTTTGATATTTCATATATAAAATCCTACAAAATGTGGCCTTTTACATCTAGCTTCTTAATATGATGCTTTTGAGTTCCATTCATATTGTGGCTTGTTTCTATACTTTATACATTTTTATTACTAAGTAGTGTCGTGATCCTCTGTATCCAAGGATTCTGCGTTTGATATAGGTTGAAAAATGCTTTAAAAAATAGTGTGTGTACTGAACATGTACAGACTTTGGATGTCTTGTTTTTTTTTTTAATTTTATGTGTATGAGTGTATTGCTTGCATGCGAGTGAGTGCACCTGTGTCATGCAGTGCCTCAGAGGTGAGTAGAGGGCTCTGGATTCCTCTGAAACTGGAGTTAAGGACAGTTCGCAGCTGCCATGTGGGTGCTGGAAATCAAACCCAGGTCCTCTGTAAGAGCAGTCAGTGCTCTTAACTGCTGAGCCATTTCTCCAGCCCTGATGTCATTATTCTTAAGCAATATAGTCTGAAAACTATTTCTATACCATTTACATTGTATTCACTATTATAATCTATAGAAGATTTAAACTGTACAGAGATGTATGTAGATTATATGCAAATAGCATGGCATTTTATATAAGGCCTTTGGCCCTCTAGTGTGTGGTGCGGAGGACTGAACTCAGCCTTTCCTATGCCAGAGAAGTGTTCTATCGTTATTATACCCTCTTCCCCCATGTCAGCATTTGGATACTTGTAGGGTTCCCTACCTTACTCCCCATCCCAGAAAAAAGAAAAGGAGTGAAAATGAACAGCCCAGCTTTTAAAATGGGCAAAAGACTTGAACAGATGCCTTAGCAAAGAAAATAAACAGATGGCAGCTACACTTATGAAAAGATCCTGTGCCCAGAAATGACCAATTACCACAATGAGATAGCCACTAGACAGACACCTATGAATGGCAAAATCACAGAACTCTAACAAGAGTGCTGGTAAGGAACAGCAGAATGTGGAGCTACAGGAACCCTCAGTCACTGCTTGTGACAATGCAAAATGACATGTCCATTTCAGAACAGTTGTGTGGTTTCTGGCAAAACTAAACATACTCTTGCCATATGGCCTAGAGATTTCAGTCCTGAGCATTTTACCAAGTAATTGAAAACTTATGCTCATATACAAATCTGTGGACAATTGTTTATAGCAACATTATGCAAAATTGCCAAAATAACCTAAGAAACAAAAATAATGAGAATCTTTTTTTTTAACCCCTTTAGTGATCAAAAACAATCTAGGAGACTTATCTAAATATGACATCTTTTATCTAGATCTTAGAGATTTTGAGATCACAAATGACAATAAAAAATTTTACCATAAAGATTCTTGATTTGAACACTCAATTAACAGTGACTTAAGCCTGGTATGGAGATTTATTCCTGTAAACACAGCATTTGGGAGGCAAGAGCAGGAGGATCAGGAATTCAAGTATATCCTGGGCTATAGCTAATTGTGAATCAGCCTGAGTTGCATAAGACCCTGCCACCAAAAAAAATGGACTGATTTTAATAATTCACTAGTTCTTAGTCTCCCTTTTCAGGTTAGTTTCTGGACTGGGTGTGGCAGTCATGCATGCCTTTAGTCCCAGCACTTGGGAAGCTGTGAGACGAAGATCTGTGAGATCAAGGCCAGCCTGGTTTACATGGTTGGGGTCCAGACCAGCTGGGGCTATAGGGAGACCCTGTCTTAAAACAAACCACTCTTCCCCTTTGCCACCCCCAAAAAAGCTTTGGTTTTTTAATGTAGTTAGTATTAATCTGATGAACTTGGGCATTTATTAACAGGTAGAAGATGTGAACCAAAAATTCAACAATCTGGTCAAACTTGAGCAGTCAGGATGGCAAAACAATAATAATACAAGCAAAAAGGTCTTTCGGGTAAGTTCGTACATTTTATATCCAAATTTCTAATATAGACGTCTTGATTTTTGTTTTAAAATTGGGGGTGAGGGGCAGTTATGTCACAGCGAACATTCAGAGGACAATTTGGAGAAGTTGGTTCTCTCCTTCTATCATGTCACTTTTGAAAACATTTAACTTCAGATTTCTTATTTTACAAACTAAACTTCACATATTACTTATTATGTTTTGATTACCTTTGAAGAAGGAGCAAGGAATGATCAGCATGAAATGTAAAATGTTTATTTCTGGAGAGAAGAAAGTAAGTCTGTGATTGAATTGGGTCACCTGGATGATTTTTATGTTGTCAGACAGTGGGAACGTGAGCATTTATTTTCTTTTTTTCTTTTTTTTTTTTTTGATTGTTTAATTTTATTTTATGCATATGAGTTTTTTGCCAGCATGTATATAAGTGTACACTTGTGTGCATGGTGCCTGCGGAAGCCACAGGAGGGTTTTGGGTCCCCCAGAACTGGAGTTTAGGATGTAGGTTAACTGCCATGTGGGTTCAGCAGCCAGTGCTCTTAACTGCTGAACTATCTCTCCAGCCCCTTGTTTTTTTCTTTCAGCTTTATCAATGTCACCATGTGTAGTGTTGTACCCTTGTAATAGTATTAGCTGTTGGAAGGCTTAAGCAGAACATTGCCAAGAGTTCAAAGCCAGCTTGGGCTACCTAGCAAATACAGGCCAGCCAGGGTTTCATAGCAAGACTCTGCCTCAGAAAAATCAAAATAAAACATAATAATGTATTTGTGAAACTGAAGAGGTGAGTCAGCATTAAAAACACTTGCTGCTCTTTCAGAGAACCCCAGTTTGATTCCCAGCACCCACATGGTGGCTAATAATCATCTGGAACTCCAGTTCCAGGTAATCTGACACACTCTTCTGTCCTCTGCAGGCATTACACTTTGTGATACACTTACATACATGCAGGCAAATCACTCGTAAAGATAACACACAAAAAAAATAAATTTTTTAAATTATGTGTTTATGGAGCTGGAGAGTTGGCTCAGCAGTTAAGAACACTGGCTGCTCTTTTTTTAGAGTACTCTGGTTCAATTCCCAGCACCCACATGGTGGCTAACAACCATCTGTGACGGCAGTTCTGAGGAATCCAGTGCCCTCTTCTGACCTCCATGGGGATTACATGACATGGGTGCATTTACATACATGCAGTTAATATACTCATACATGCAAAAAAATAATAAATACTGTTTTTAATTATTTATTTGAAAGCCAGGCATGGTGGCACATGCCATTAGTCCCAGCACTCTGGAGGCAGAGGCAGACAGATCTCTGAGTTCAAGGCCAGCCTGCTCTGCATAGTGAGTTCCAGGTCAACTGAGGCTACGGGGAGACCCTGTCTCAAAAAGACCCCCCATAAAAAATTATTTGAGTATTTACATCTATTAACTCATTTAATCTTTACAGCAATCCTGTGAGAAGGCTGCTATATCTACAATTAATCGTTGAAAAATCCAAGATTCCAAAAGATAAAATACTTTGCCCAAGGTAGAGCTGGATTCCATACCAGTCTTTTCATTCAAGAATCCATGGCATTACCCTGCAGGTTACATCTCCATGCCATATGCATGCTTTTTGTGTGAGAGACTGTAGAAGTTATTTTGTTTCATTTTTAAGATTTATTTTTATGTGTATAAGTGTTTTGCCTACATCTATGTATACTATATTCTTGCTTGGTGCCCACAGAGGCCAGAAGAGGGTGCTGGATCCCCCAAAATTGGAGTTACAGCGGGCTGTGAACCGCCATGTACATTTTGGGAACAAAACCTGGGTCCTCCGCAAGAACAGCAATCTCAACTGAGCAATCTGTCCGGCCCCCAAAAAGATTTTTTTTAAAAAGAGAAATAGTTCTTTAGCATATATTTCTTGGTGCCAAAGAATTGACATGGTGGTGCATGCCTTTAATCCCAGCACTTGGGAGACAGAGACAGGTGGAGCTCTGTGAGTTCCAGGCCAGCCTGTTTCTACATAGTGAGTTCAGGCCATCTGGGGCTACTGGGAAACCCTGTTATCAAAAAGACCAAAAAAGAAAGAAGAAAGAAAGAAAGAAAGAAAGAAAGAAAGAAAGAAAGAAAGAAAGAAAGAAAGAAAGAGAGAGAGAAAGAAATGCTCCATAGGGGCTGAAGAGAATGCTCAGTGGTTAAGAGCACACACTGTTCTTGCAGAAGACCCAGGTTCAAATCCCCAGTACCCATATATAGCAGTTAACAACTATCTGTAACTCCAGTTTCAGGGGATCAGAATCTCTCTTCTGGCCTCCCTGGGCATTGCAAGAAATGGCTTAGCAGTTAAGAGCACTTGGTGCTCTTGCAGAGGGCCTGGGTTTAGTTTCTAATAACCACATGGCAGCTAACAACCATCTGTACAGTTCCAGGGAATCCAACACTCTCCTCTGGCCTCTTTGGGCAGCAGGATTGCACGTGGTACGTTTATGTACATGCAGGCAAACACTCATACACATAAAATAATTTTTTAAATACTAAATAAATTAGAATATTTTTCTTTGTTTATTTACATAAATAAAATTATTGAGAATTTCATACATGTATATAAGGTGTTTTGCTCAAATCCATGCCCACTCCCTCCCCTCCAGCTCCTCCCATATCTCCCCATCACTTTTTTCTGATAATTTCACATACTCTTTCTTCTTTGATTTATTTATTTATTTTTATGGGGATTTTGGCTATTCTAACATTCCCCCCTCTGAAGAGGGAACCCTAAAATCTAAGGATTAGATACAAGCTCCCAAATACCGTCGACATTTTTGGCCTTTGGAACAGAGTATGTTGCTAAGAGGCCCAAAGACATTTTGGACTTTAGTCAAGAAACTGGCTACTTTTCTTTGGAATCATTTTACCCTAAGTGCCTAGCCAATTCCTACCTCCCATTCTTATCACACCATCCTCTGAAGAGGTTACCCAAATTGCCAATGGGGAATAGGGACACAGACTGCTCTGGCTTCTTCCATGCTGAACAGGGACACAGGGTGAGGCAATTAGAATACCCCTTCAGTGGATTCAGAATTTGCTTTCAGGTATTTTGATAGCTGTTGGAGTGGTTAGAATCAGTGTCAGTTCCCTCTCAAAGGCTTCTAGATAGGGGGAGAAAACAAATTTATCCATCATTTTAGAACAATAGCTGGTTGTTCTAGGGAGCTTAGCTACAGGTGGGCATTACAGTATTGGATACCAAGATTTGAAGTCTTACATCTGAGCATCACTTTCTGGTTAGGAAGAAAATCATCAATGAGAAATAATTGTCTAAATACTTTTTATATAGACTTAAGCCTAATATCTGGGAAGTGTAATTCCTTGACCTCTTAAATATACTAACGACTTTACTCTTTGGTTATACTTTCCTTTTAGATGTTTAAGGCCATACAGTTGGCCCAAATAAATCAATTTATTTTTACACTTAAGGTCATTTGAGGATCTGTTCCTCAGGGGTCACATGGGCTTGGGAGGAGCTCCTGGCTCCTTTCTTTTACCAGTTCCATCTATGTGAAGATAAGTCAAAGGTCCTGCTCAACCATGTCTGGCTTCACTTGGAAGCATGAATGAGATGTTTCCTCTAAGTTGACCCTCCTCTTTATAGACTGGACACTGGTTGAAGTCGATCTCGTGGGGTCTCCATGTCCCCCCTAAACAAGAGGACACGTGACTCCACATTTACAGGACATTTTGAGAGATGTTCCATAGTCCCCTGGAACTTGTTCCATAGTCCTGTGGAACTTAGTCAACCATGAAGGGCAAGGGGCAAAAACTATCGTTTAAGTCCCTCTGACCACATTAGTATAGGCCTCAAAGTATGGCTATTAAACATCTGATAAGGTTAGTTCCACCAGTATGGCACTTTTAATTATCATATGCTGTGTACATAAGACTTGGGTAAAAAACCAAATATTTCAGGTTTATCCTTGACTAGATAAATATTTTGTTCCTTAAACTAGTTGACTATACTATGACCACAGAAATTTTAAGATTATGGATATATTATTTTTGTCTCATCCTGACATTTCATCATAGGTTGTTCAGCTTACTTAACTTTCTTCGTAATGACCAAGTTACCTCAAAGATGGTCACTTTCTAATATACAGGTGATGCTCTATCCCCTGAAGGCCCTGATTAGTCCCATGCAAGGCAATGTTTTAATTATGAGACATAATAGCATTAACAAATAAATTCTCCATCTGTTGTTAGACTTCTTTTCCTGGGGATGCTAAGCAACATTTATTCCCTTTGAAGGTTCTAATGTCAAGCCAATGTTTGATTAAAGTTTTACTGAGAAACCAGTGAATTTGTTGAGTTTAGTTACTAAGATAACTGAGGGGTTGCTGAAGTCTATGTATGACCTGAGGGTATGCACACTGGAAAGCCTTTACCCACCATCGGCCATGCCTTCTCTTCCTAGCCTTCCCAGATGTTTACTTTGGCCTTCCTAAATCCAGCAGGCCATCTGTGATTAGGGCCAGATTACATACAGTTGGCTGGAAAGAGTGGCTGGATACTCTGGTGAGGGTCCAATGACCGTGCTTGGCCCTCTTTTAATGAATGAGCACAACCATCAACAAGCCCAGTTGTGATGATGTTTAGTGATCGGGCTCAGCTGAAGTCGTAATGATGGTAGTTATTTCATGCAAGAAGGGATTGCTGTATAGCATCATCTTATTAAAAGGACCTGGAATTTAAAAGGATTTGGCGCTAGGATCCACATATGAGGAAGAACACACATCATTTGTTTTTCTGAGTCTGTGTTACTTCACTTAGTATAACAGTTTCTAGTTCCATCCATTTACCTGCAAATTTCATTGTTTCATCTCTTTTCACTGCTGACTAGAACTCCATTGTGTAAATAGACCACATTTTTGTTAACCACTCATCAGCTGAGGGACACTTAGGTTGCTTCCATCTCTTAGCCGTTGTGAAAAGACCAGCAACAAACAGGGGTGTACAAGT